ATACAAAAACACTTGGAAATTATGAGGGCAAACCTCAAACTAACCAACTACAACAGAGAGGGCAAGTGACCTTCTGCTTCCCTGTTAGGGAGCAGCTCAGGCTGAAGGCTAAAGAGGACACATGTAAATTTTCTTATTAGTAGCAATTTCTAGGTAAATTGAAATGAATCTATCATTAAAAGTTTGTGTTGATAAAATGACACCAAATAATTTTTCAAAGATTTACATGAACAACCTCACTGAAAAAGGCATCATCTGAAATGCCCTCCATGTAGGCTGATGTTCCATATTCCCCCCTTTAGAAAATGACTCAATACATTAAGTATAGCCTTCTCCCAACCCAAGTTGATAGTCATTCAGATCTGAAAATTTCTTTGCTTCTGTGTATTAACCTTTGTTACCACTCAGTCTTTATTCAAGTCTCTTAAATTTTCTTGCAATCAATCAAAATAAAACTGGTACTGCTAAAAATTTGTGTAGTTGTTTTGAACAACAATGAGCCTTTCCTACTGAGGAAGCCCATTCCCCATCTAGCCTCTATTTCTTAGCATTTCTATTTTAGAACATTGACTATGTGAAGATTTGTTTTGGATACACCTTTGCCTACAATACCGCCTTAGGACCTAAAATTAAAGTGGCAACTTTAAAAAGACTCTCTCCAAAGTTGTTAAATTTCTCCAGTGACATTTCTAGTATCCCTCTCTCCAAAACTGAACAAGGATCTCTTACAACTAGTTTTTTATTCACGAAACTAGCCACCGTTTTAACTTTGCTCTACACAAAGCCCTTACCCTAGTACTTGTGTTTAAGTGGCTGCCAGACCATTCTGTGTACGGCAAGCTGCCCCAGAGTGTGATTATTTAAAAGATGGGCTTTGCATCCCCAAAGCACTCCTCACCCATTTTCAGAATAATTAATTGCTGGCAAAATCCCAGAATTCAACAATTTTTAATCATGGAAAAACAAAAGTGCTGGGACGGGGACGGGCCAGACTTCGGTCTACAGGAATGACTTTTTTTTTTAATAAAGCTATTTTAACAAATTGACTGTTTAATTCCTTATCCCCACTCATAGGAAGCACTTTACAAATACAATAAAGCAAGTTTGAAAGGGCAAGAAAACTGAAAACCTATTTGAAGCCATTTCTTGAGGTAAGGCACAAAGGTGCATTTCTAATTCCAAATCATCCCAAAAAATCTCTCCTGACTAGGTCAATAGAAGTACACAATCCCAGCAATCCAGCTGTTAATCCGGCAGTCCATTACCCCTTCTATAAATAGCTCGGTCTGGGTCTATATCGACAGGCATTTTGTAATTTCAAAATTCGTTACCCCGAGAGAACGTCCTGAATAACTCGGTAACTGGGAGGGCCCGTCTACCCTTTCTTTAACTCCGCAGCCCCCCTCCCCTTGGCCATCCTAGCATTTTCCACTTAAAAAATGCCCCCCCTCCCATCCCTCGATTAGACTAAGAGGAAAAAATAAACGGTTCGGTCGGGGGGGGGCGCTGCGACCCAGGGGGAGGGGCCGAACTAGCAGCGCTTCTTCGCGTGGCTGCGCCAGCGCCTGACCCCCGCGGGGAGCCGCGCTCACCCGCCCGGCCAGCAAGCCGGCCATCGCCTCCCCTCACCCCCCTCAACCAACAAATCCACCGCCGCCCCCCCAACCGCGCGCGCGCCCTCCTTAACTCCTGCGCAGCCGTCACCGGGAAAAGGCGGGGGGAGGGGGGCAGGCCTTCACGAGGCCTACTAGGCCGCGCAGGAGCCAGGACCTCGCGTGAATGGCCGACCTGGCTGAGTGAGGGAGTAGGCGCTCACGCGAGACTACGCGAGGCCGGGGCTCGTGACGAGGACTGGAGCCCGCTAAGAAAGATGGCAAGAAGTGAAATAGTGCTATAGCCGGGGGCGGAGGGAGAATTTTGAAGCTTACCTGCAGGCCCGAGGCGACTGAGGGGAAAAGGGGAGCGGGCGGGAAGGGGAAGGGCGGGAG